AGCTTAAACTTAACTGGCCAATTGAACCAAGTAAACCACATTCACATTGATCCGGTAGACATTCACATTCTAAAGCTTTATGCTAACACCACCCACTTGGCTCTTTCAACGGCTCTGCTCAATTCGTCAACTTTGGTCAACCGGCCAACAAGTGTGGTCATTACTTAAGTTCGTTTTATTCCCTGTAAGTCCCTTACCATGTCTTATCTTACATTTTCACTCTTAATGGTTTAGTTTCACTAGTGAAACCCCCCCCCCCCCCCAATGCTCTTTCTCTTTTGCTACAAGAAACAAAAAAGATCCCCGAATTACTTGTCATCACTCTTTTCATGCAAACAAGTTCATTCTTCTAAGCATAGATGAGAACGGAATTATTGCTTATGCCCTACAAAAGGTATGTGTCAGTGTATGTGTGTGTGTCCATACAATACATGTATGTAAATTCATTATTAAGCTCCATTTCATAGTTTTTCTCAACTTGAAATTAAATTCTTGTACGAGATCCAGGTAGAAGAATCAATGTGAATAGAGTAAATTTCAAAGATTAAAACTTTTTTCAAGAAAATGTCACGAGAAGTATCCAATGTAATGCGCATCTTGGAACTTGTAAGTAGAATTTAATGAATTTGCATGACACTCTTTACAATAAATCAACTTACTATTAAAACGCATTTAATGTCGCATACTGTCTTGTCTTTACATGGTCCTAAGTTTTCGTATATAACTCTTCTGCGCAATTATATGCCTCAGTTAAATACTCCAACTATATACTGTTAGTCACTCATATAGTCATATATACCACACAACCGAATGTTGGTTAGTCATAAACTTGCACTATTTCTGTTTCGTATTTTTATCAAATGCATTTTCATGTTTTCATATACAAAATTTGAAAAACTTTCAATTTTATTAGGTAACTTTATCAGTTAAAGATACAAACTATAGATAATTATTTAGAAAAGGATTATAATAGTAAACAAATTATTTCATACATGCATCCTTTTCGAAAGTTCTGAATTTAGTTTAAAACTAAGAGCTTTGTTTGAATATACTGAGTATTAATTTGATGAATAAATGGCGCTGTGTGCGTGGAGCCAAGCGTGGAGCAAATAGATGCAGAATATGAGTGGCCCATTTATATAGTGACTTCACTTACATTTACTAACTCAACGTCTTCTTAGTTCTTACAAATCCCAACGTATCGAGTGTTTCAAATAAAACTAACTAGTCTTCTTCTTTGTAATATCCCCATGGAATACATATATATATACTCCATGTACACTAGGAATTATATTATATATAGTTCTTCTCAAAACCTTACGCGAAGGTGGTTCGATCCTATATAGGCCAAAAAATTTACTTTTACAAGTGTTT